TGTGCGATAAGCCTAAGGGTGGCCCGTACACCTGGATAAGAGAGTTTATGATAGCCACCACTTTATCTCTCAATGGGCGTATACCTTTGTTGTCAATGGCATGCCCAAGGAAGCTAAGTGATTCAACTCCTATTTCACACTTCTGTAAGTTGACTGTGATGCCATGCTTTTTAAGTCTTCCGAATGCGAGGTCCAAATGTTTGAGGTGAGTTTCCTTATTTGGACTCGCAATTAGACAGTCATCGATGTAGACATGAACAAAATTCAAACCACGGAAGACATCGTCCATAAAGCGTTGGAATGTTTGTGCTGCATTCCGAAGACCAAATGGCATGCGCGGGAATTCAAACAGACCAAAAGGAGTAATAATGGCTGTTTTCGCGATATCTTCCGCTGCCATAGGTATCTGGTTGTACGCCTTGACCAAGTCGATTTTCGAGATGTTCATTCCGCATGAGGTTGCAGTCAAATCGTAGGCGTGAGGTATCGGGTAGCAGTCTGGAGTTGTTTTGGCGTTAAGCCTTCGGTAATCACCGTTTGGACGCCAGTCGTTGCTATCCTTTTGGGAACCATGTGTAATGGTGATGCCCAAGGACTGTTTGACGGTTTGACAATGCCCAGTTCGAGCATGTGGTCGAATTCGCTTTTCGCCGTTTGTGGCTTATCGGAGGCTAAACGGCGTGCTTTGGATGCCACAGGTGGACCTGTGGTTGTGATGTGACTCATAACATTGCTGGTTATGCACGGAAGAGTGTGCTTCTGTTGCTGCAACTCTGGATATTTCTCCAAAACTGCTTGGTAGGACGCGTCGCCTGATTGTTTAGCTCTATCGATGGCTAAACTCGAACCTACATGGGTGGTGCCGCCAATAGATAACTTTGTGTTGTTATCTATCAGTCGTCGACGGCGAGCATCTACGAGTAGATCGTAATATTTTAGCAAATCTATGCCAATGATGGGCATAGAGACGTCAGCAAGGAGGAAGATCCAGTGGATAGGTTTGCGTAAACCTAAATTGAGGTAGGCATACTGTCTCCCAAATGTCGTTATTGCCTTGCCACTGGCTGCTTGAAGAATGAAGGATGGGTCGTGATGACGCTCCTTTGTCGTTGCTAGAAGAACGCTAACTTCTGCGCCGGTGTCGACGAGGTAGCGGACCCTCGTTTTTATGTCGGTGACGTAGAGCAAACGGCTGTTTCCGCCGGCTACGGTTGCCGTGAGCAGGTGCCGGCGTGACCGTTTTCCTAGTTTGTGTCCTTCCTAAAACGGCGTGGTTTACGACACTTTCTGGCTTCATCTCCGTAAGTGTTATGAAACCAGTACCATTTAGGGTTTTCCACCCCGCTAGGTTTAGTTTTGGGGCTACCACGCGATTTGCTGCGATGCGCCAAGGTGTGTTTCTCTGAAGTGCTACGTGAGCTGCGACTTCGAGATCGTAGCAACTGTTTCACAGAGTTGCACAACTTGGTCACCTCTGAATCCTGGCGCTCTGGTTTGTCGCAGATAGAATATACGTTGGAGACGGGTCTGCTAGAAATCTCCAGTATTCTATCTGCCGAGGCCGCCAGGTCATCGAGTGGGACTGACTGCAGTGTCACCAACACGGTTTGCACCGGTTGTGGTAGTTTCGAAGGAAACAGTTCTCGGAAGAGGCCATAGTCGAATGTTCGTGCACCGATTACTTCTCGCATGCGTGCGAGGACTTCAGTAGCTGAGTGGCTGCCTAGCTCGATGTTACGAAGTAATTCGGCTAGGCGCTGGCGATCTGAGAGATCGCCTTTCTTCAAGAGTGCGGCCTCAAGAAGTGCATGAGGATCACTTACTTCAGGATTAAACATGTGTGCCGTAACATACCTGTTTAATTCTCGCGGTGGTGACCGTATGACAACAAGAAATCGAGAATGAGGATCTGAGACGCCCTGTTCTCGAAAATTCGCCTCGGCACACAGAAACCATGTTTCCGCATTGTCTGGCCAATATGGCACGAGTCGGATCGTGTTCGCAGTCGGCCCAATACGAATAAGCTTGGGAGTGTGGTCAGACATGAGAAAGTGTAGTAAATGGATATATGAATGTTATCGAAATGAAAACAATAAACAAATATAAAATGGAACAGGCTCACCAATTCAATATTTGTTTTTGGTCGGGATATGTTATCATGTCGGGCTCACCAATTTAAGGTTTGTCCTGGTGCGAACTTGACAGACGCAAAGACCAATCACTAATTACTCGAACTTGTTATATACCCACGAATACGAGACCAAGGAAGAACACAACAGCGTAGTCGGATGGAATAGTGTATTCGGATGGTCGTGCCAAAATACCGATGCGTTCCAACCAACTGGCTAGAGAGTCGAATACGAACAATGCAACGTAACACGACAGCGTGCCAAATGGTGAGGATGCTTGACCGGGTGCCTTCAGCTTAGTGAGTCCAGTTAAACTGTCAAGGTCAGCAACAATGTCGAAAGTCGTCAAACCCTAGGCTATTGATTTTGGGGGAGTGTATGACGCTACAATCTCATGAGTAGTTCATTACATGTGTCTGGTGAGCTATTCTATGGCATTCGTCACTCATTACATTTTCTTCAAAATTCTGTCCCTTCTTACTTGTTTCTCGGTTCACTGCATACCTCATTTGCTGAATAAGAAGATTCAGATTGCTGGTGAACACAAGAGCTTACAGGGTTGGTTCGGAGATCACCTTAGGACTTGACTGCAGTCATTTAGAGTTAGCTTCTCCTCATATAACTGGTTCCCGATCCTGAGGGAACCCCTCAGAGTTCAATGCTGGTTCCATTATTGTTTCCTGCACTTGTATTCGACCTACCGGACGCCCTGATTTCTCATTCACCACTACATGCTTATGATCTTGAGATCCAGTTCAACGGGGTGACCTTTCTCGGGTTATAAACTAGGTAAGTGAAAACCTACCCCTCCCCAACAGAGAAGGGTGGGATAATGACTGTAGATAAATATGGACGTGATTCCAGTTCTTAATGCCTCCGATCATACCTTGAAAAAAATTTGGTGTTTACGCTGATTGACGCACTTGAATCTTCTGTTCATTAATACCTTGCAGCCAGCAAGGCTTTGAAAATCCTGGGACTTCTTTCTTGAACTCCATGGAGTATAGCTCCAGGCCGTTTCGATACGCTGTACAGACTGAGCTTTCGTCCTCATCTGCAAGCCTCGCTAGTTATCCCTCCGTACTTGAAGGAAGATACTGTCGTCCCAGAACAGGCTCCTAGGAGCGCTAAGATAAAGGTAGTTGGGTTCAAATACAAACGCTGCCTGAGTTGTCAAACTTCTCTCAGGCTGCATCTGGTAAGGTCCACGGGGATTTGAAGGGGTGTAGCCATGGTTTGGTGTATCTTCCATAATCCCCTTCATTATAACCCATTTCTCCTAAGCCTTCATGGGAAACCCCAGGTAAGAGTTCATCCTGTTTTAGGAATTGTCCTGGTTCAAACTTGATAGACACAGAGGCCAATCACCAATTATTCGAACCTGTTATGTACCCACAAATACGAGACCAAGAAAGAACACAGTAACGTAGTCCGATGTAATAGTATATACGCAAAGTCATGCCAAGATACCGATGCTTTCCGACTAGGGGTTCGACCACGAGCGTTGCAACGCAACGCGACGGCGTGCCAAATGGCTAGGATGCTTGACCGGGTGCCCTCAGCTTAACGAGTTCAGTTGAACTAGGAGGGTCAACATCAATGTTGAATCTCGTCGGAACCTAGGCCACTAGTTCTAGAGAAGTGTGTGACGTTACACTGTATAAGACATTGGAGAACACATAATGATTCGAACTAACTCGTTTGCAGTCAGAATGTGTGAACAGCTGAACTCCTTTCCCGGACGAGTCGCTGCAGCCTGTCCTTCTGATTCTCTTGGAGGCATGTGGTATAGATAGTCTGTATCCAAGGTGCGACCCGTCGTCTTATAGACCATTAGTAGCTGCTGAATAGTTCTTAACTGATTGTTTCTATTCTTTCGAATTTTTATGAACCGAAATCATCCGGTTGAGGAAGGTGCATAGCCCACATGAACCTTGCTACGCTATTTCTACAAACATGAAGTTTGAAGTTTTGAAGTCTGAATGCGGTATGCTACACTTCACTTTCTGGTCAGATGTAGGCGAGGAGGGCTGAAGCTAACCACCAGTGAATTTATTAGTGCTTATTGACTTCGGATTTCAGATTTGTCGTCTGAGGACAGGAGTCTGGGAGCCTATATTAATCCTTTTCCAGTAGACTTCTGTGCTTGTCCAATCCCCTTTGAACGAGTCAACTGATGATGCGGACACCACTTCTTCTGGGAGTCAGTTCCAGGCGTTGATCACTCAATGTGAGAACCAGTACCCTGAGGAGACTATGTTCGTTATTTGCCTTTTTGGTCTCCTACTACGTCCTCTGACGTGTTCCGACCCAGTGGGAATGAAAAGAGAAGATAGATCTGGTCCGAAGTCATTTCTTGGAATCCTGTATGGTATGATTAAGACTCCCCTCTGTCTAAGGTAGGAAAAGGCGAAGATGTTCAGCTCCTCATGTTGGTCTTCATAAGTGAGGTCAGCCATCACACGGATCATACGAGTGGCTGCCCTTTGAACTCTTTCTAGAAGGTCTGAATCACCTTTCAGACAAGGATTAGCCGCCTACGTGTAGTTTTCTAATTTAGACCTAACTAAGGGCGTGTATAAGATGGTGGACATGTCACCACTTACTTTCGTAAACGTCCTACATAATGCCCAGAGAGTCCTAAGACTGCGAGCTGCTACTAATCGATAGTGAGCCGTGGTTTTCAAGTCATAACTAACCGTGACTCCTAGGCCATTTTGGGTGAGTACTGACGGTAAAGGAGTCCCATCAATATCGTAGGTGTTGCTGTTTGTGCTCTAAGTGCATGCTAATACATTTACATGCACTGATAGGATTGCATCAGATTTATTTTTTGGTTATTCAATTGTACACTTGACACAGGATGGGTTTGACGAGCGCTATTTTTGGTTGTTTTACGGCATCATACCGTTTGTTAGTTATCGCTTATAATTAAATGTAAGTACATCCTATGTACTTAGTGAGTTATCCGCTCACGTTTTTCCCTTCCAGATTCTCACGACTAAACCCACACTTCCCCCTGCAACAACGTACCTTCTACCTATAGGCTAGACAAACCCCATCAACCGCAGGTCTTTACATAACATAAGCCTTGTCTGCGTTTTTGTGGATAGTGAGTTTCCTCTCGCTCTGTAGTCACCATAAGTTGGTTGCTTTCAAGATTAGGAGTACTCGCGAAGTGAGTCCATGAGGGTAGTTAGTTTGGGCGCACTTTGGAAAATTTGGCTGCATACACAATGATCTCTGAGTGGGAGTTGTAACTTTAAATATTGGGCGCGTACCAGAGTCATAGTTAAAGTGCAGAGTTGTCAGGCTTTATGAGTGAGCTTTGGAAGTTCTGAGCAGAAAGATTGGGTGCATTTCAGAACTCTTACAAGATTTCGGGGAATAGTTTTATGTTTTCAGGAAAATAAAAAATAGTCACAAAGTTCACCTGGAGTTTTTAGCAAAACTACGCTCAATAGTTCTGAATTGCGGCCAAGGCTTTTTCCGGCTAGACTAGACGTGGATTGCTTATGAATTCTAAAGCAACATATCTACTCTTGTAATAGAGTTCTTGGAGATGTCACTTTCGTACCCAGATTTTATATGGGTACTTTTTAGTCAGTAAAGAAGGCAGGTTGTTTTTACATTGTTTGCGTAACGCTTGTCACTGGACCGTTTACTTCATGGGTGTCTCTTACGCTCAGTTTTTCATAAACCTTTTGGTTTTCAAACAATGATTTTGAACTCAGAGAACAGTCTATTCTCTACTTCTACGGCATAAATTTTGAGAATCATATACGATCATCATGGGTTGTTGCAGTGCTAAAAGATCTGAAAATACACTTTTGACATCAAGATGTATGGACTTTTAGGGTGCACCTTTTGTGGTTGAAATGGTGAGGCGAATGAGAAAATGCATGCATATGATGCGGTCCAGAAAATGCTTCGAAGTACTGTATTCACAGGTGATAGGAATTAGTGGTTGAGGACTCTTGGTGACGTGGTTGAAAGTCAGTTACAGTGATGCAGATTTATTGACTCCTTGACATCTAAAGCTTGAATATTCGCACTAACTTATTTTCACATTGTTTGTTCTGATACTACTTTGTCTTCGATATCACACTCTGTCCACCTGTTCTGTGTACTACTATAGTGTGGCAACTTGAGCCGATGCACCTGTGTCAGATGGAGATTCATTTTGTCAGTCATTTAACGGTGATATGCAAGTAATGGGTTGACCAGGTTGAATAATTATATGTACTGTCTGAATGATAAGATTTCGGAAAGTGTGGAAACAAGGCTAATTCACGCCGAGTAATACGGCAATAGAGTGGGAAGACTTCTGAAGTAATGCTGATAGTTTGGCAACTATGCATGAAAGCAGCTGCACTTATGAATGGATACCTAAATTGTCTGGCGAGTGAGGAAGTAATGCTGAAAAAATCGCTTGAAAGTTGCACTTCAGCATTATTTCGGCATAATTATCAGCTTGAGTCAAAATACTTCGAGGTACCACTGAGTTGATACACTTATTGTGATCACTGGATAACTTTGGAGGAAAGTAACGTCTAAGCAATATAGTTAGTTGTAAATTGATACTCAGGAGAGAAGAGCAACATAAACGGATAGACAAAATCAAAGTAGAACCACATACGCAAGTGCATATGTTTTCGTTGCCACACTTCAAAGGAGCATGCAAGGAACAAGTGAATAGAAGACTGATTTCAAAGTAGGTAAGGTTGTACAGGAGGAGGAAGAATTTAGAAAATATTTAAGCTTTAGAAGACGTCCAAGAGTGAATACATCTGCCCCATTGTGATCAGTTTTTAGCCATGTCATCGAGTCTGCAACCACTGATGCGTATGGTTTTGGGCACCTCACCCAGGTAGTCTACATCCCTCTACACGACTCAGACCAACCTCGTAGATTGATGCCACTTATTGATTTGACCACTCCGAGCCTTCATCCAACTTAATCCAATTCCTAGCATTGCACGTGGATGTAGGTAGTAGCTGGTCATGACCAAGACATGTCTTAGCCATTTCACTCACTGTAAGTTCACAACCTCATCAACCGACTTTCCTTCCTTACGTAGTGCCTTTCGTCTAACGTCGACATTGCTAATACGGTGATTCCATCATATGCGAACAGTCCTACGAAGACACCTCTAGTCTTTTCATATCTACTTTTAACGGCCATGTCAGCCGTATAACAGGACAGAACGAACTTCAGTTTAGTATACTCGTCCTCTAACAGTGAGTCGAATACCTGGCCAGGCGGTGCCAGAGATAACGCAGACTGGCAAGTGCCAAACAGTTCTTTTATATCCAAACTGAGACTTCATCAGGACCAAACACGTTCGGACTAATGCAACTGAGTAACTGAAGTGGTCAACGCCTTCTAGTATTTCATTCTCTATTGTCTGAACGGGGTGGGTACCGACCAATGCTAAAGCATTATCTTACACTTGACAGATATGGATGCATGCGTGACATGCTAAGATTTCTGCTCAAAGCGATCAGAAGATAGCGTTTTATCAACGTCTTTGCTGATTAAGATATCTTGGTCTGCGTGCTCCAAGACACCATCCAGGGCACTAGTCAATCCCTCTCAGGTTAGAAGCACCTAAGGTTAATTTCGATACATTTTTAAGGGAGTTGAAAAAGAACAGTAACAGTGGACATCTCTGGCGGGTATCGCTGACTGTCATCACTGATGGCATCTCTCCATAGGCCATCACGTGACTGTGTAAGTTTGAGTAGAGAGCTTTGACCAGCATTGATTACTTGATCGGCGCTCCCTTCACAGTCAGATATCACCAAAATGTCTCAGGGTGAACAAAGTCGAATGCCACCTTCAAGCGAAGAAATATGGAAAGTGTTGGTCACCGATAAGTGTCTTCGTCGAAAGGTGAAGATGTGAGCAACGCACCGTGATCCTGATCTGCAGTCTGGATGATTTTATCATGTTTGCTGTCCTTGAGCTCCACGGTTAGGAGATATGCGATGAGGTTTGGGACGAAAAGATAGTATCTTGCACTGATATTAACTTCTATTACCTACTGTACATCGGAGAATATTCTGAATAAAGTGCTTAAGGGTATCGTTATACAAAGTTTTTCTTTGCATTGACTTCGCTTATTGTGCTACCTTTGTAAGACAGTAAGCAGATAAAGAGTGCCATCTGATGGGGATTTCTAGACAAAATATTGGATTTAGTACTGGAGTGAGCAAAGGTACTTTCTAATTGCTTAATTGAAGGAAAGTGAGTTCTGGTATGTAAGCCTCCAAACTAATATGAAAGGTTGCAGAGCAAATGTGTTCCAAGGTAGGATTTAAGGGCAACTATCCTATTATTTACCTACACCAATATTGTATTTACTCATGAAAAACTATTGAATCATAAGTCTGCTTGCATCCAGTCGCTAACAGAATATTGATTTTTACCCTGATACACGATGTGTGCGAATGGTTTGAGAAATATTTGTTGTTTTGGTAGATTCTGTACATAGGGTAAATCCATTGAATTGTCTGGAAATTTTTCACAGCTAGAAAGTATTGCAGACATAGCTCTTCACTGAACTTCAGGTAGTGAACTAGGATGCACATGGACCGCTGCCACCAATCCGACTTGTCTGAACTACTTATCTGATTTCTAATATCTTTTAGATAATGGTATGCAAGTTAGCATTTCAAAAATAGCTTAGGCTGGGATTCGACACTTGATGTTTAAGTTTTTTAGAATTTCGCTCCTACAGCAGTCATTTGACACCAAAATATGGACTCTCCTGGTGTGTACGGTGTGTTTAACCTCGTTTTCTGACCCTACTCAGGTCTATGAAATAAACCAAATGTGTAAAGCTTTTGCTTGTTGAATAGTTTATTATTACTCTATCTTGGTTACATCGTGTGTGTGTAAACGATAGCTTGTTTTATCAGAAAAAAAGTATGAATATGTCGGTGATCAGTGATCATTTTTGACTTCTGTCATTCCTTCAAATGTTGTTTCGGAGTAGTTATCATGAGCCAATAAGCCTAGTCTGGAGCAAATATCTGTTTAACCGTCATAGTCTAATATTCGTTTCACAGGACGTCAGTATTTTTACATCCCGTTTACTATCAAATTATGATGAAGTCCTTTCTCTTTGGTCTGACACCAGTCAAAGCAGCATTGTTCTCCTTCCCACAAAAGACATTTAAGGTGGTTCATTTGAAGCAGTAATAGCTGTCATTTTATAAGTTCCTAATTGTGACCATGAAAGTACTGTCAACAGATTCTCTAAAATGTGAACCTTGTTTTCAGGTATCAGTGATTATCCGTTCATGATAAACCTTTAGACGTTTTAATCGCCTATCCCCTGTCACTTTTCCCAAGCAATTTTTTTGAGAATGCTTGACAGAAAGCGCGATAAAGTTACCTAGAACCTGGTGTAGTACTACTTTGAAATGCACATGAAAACACTATAACCAAAAATCAAGGGGGACAAGGCATCGAAATAATTTAAATGAACTATAGAAGAACATTACCCTATTAAAAGTGTTTGTAATACAGGTTAGCTTTAAGAAATTTTGAAATTATGAAAATTTGGACACCAACAGTTAGTGATGTACCAGGAAAACATACAGAATAACATCGCACAAACCTCATATGCTTATATTGCCACAACCCAACTGTACAAGTAAAACTCAAAGGCATGAGTATCACAATGAATAAGGATAATGCAACAGAAGAAGAAGCAAATCTATCTAGTGCAGTTGGGTGTTCGAGGTCCAGAGAAATACTCAGCGAATTTACCTGTCGTATCAATGGATTTCCAGCCGTATCACAACGTCTCCAATAAATTTTTTATTTTCAGTAACATCAGTTATACTCCTTGGGATTTTCCATAGGGTTTAAATCAACTATGAGTAACTTGATACATTGATGCTTTGGCTATCCTCAGGTTTTTCTACTCACCATACCCCAACTCATACGTGACACTTTTGTTGTTGGTTCATTACTGCATTGTTCCAGTCAACGAGTAGCAGCCAGCAGACTTTTGAAGTGTACTGACTTATTGGTAGAAAGTTAGTTATCTTGCTGGCTCCGTAATTAACGTCGGGTCGCGATTGTCGTGAAAGTTTTCCCTATTCATGTCGAAATTTCATTCTCCACCAGCTTACCAAAGTTGTTACAAATAAGAATATGAAGCTCACTTAGTCACTCTACTCCCTATTCTCAGAATATTATAGTAAACACAACTCTATTGATTAGTAATAGACTGTTATTAGTTTCCAATACTTGTTGAATACGATTGTACAACTTTAGTAAATGACCGTCGAAAATCTTTCTCTAAATTGTTCCTGTTCTTTCTTACTAGATATTTTACAAGCAGTTTTAGATATGTTCTCAATATGTCAAACGTTAAAATCGAAATTCTTTATCAGCCTTGTTCTGCCATAGAAGTTGCACCTTGTCTAAGACTTGTCTAAAGTCGCATTCATTCAGAAACATTGACTAACAAATTTGGTACCAAGTTTGTTTCAGTGCTGAATACGGGTTTGACTTTAACATTTATATCTGCGCTAACAGTCGCTACCGATTTACTTATCAGAAAGACATTTGCCTTCAAAAATTTGCCTAATACGCTTCAAAGTAAACTTTTAGTGTCAGATGCGCATTTTTATGTTTGTGCTGCTATTTGTAAATTAGAAGAACTGAAGTGCAGTGAGGATATATTTTCGATAATGACATTCTCAGTGGTATGATCACTTTACACATCTCACAATCAGTAAATTTTCATCCACATTTCGTAACAAGGATGACAGTTCTGGGTGATAATTAGAGGTGAAATAAAAACTTGGTTAGTGGCAGGATTCTAACCAGCGGTCTGTGGATTACCGACCCCACGCTGTACTAACTGTGTTACCAGACATAGGTCTTAACGTAAATTCAACGGCTTAGGGTTTTGCCTGGTTACCATATGAATCCGTAGTGTGCAACTATCGGTTCATCGTAACCATACTGGCTGGCCATCTAGATCTGATCCCAATCCAAATTGAGCTGAATCGAAGAAGGGAAATATCATACCTGATTAATAATGAGATGATTTGGAATAGTCGATGTTTGATAGACTGGAGTTGTTGAAACTGGATGACTAATGAAGCGACTCAAACGGTAACCCGAAGGCTTCCGGTTCAAATCCTGCGACGACCCAGGCTTTCATTTCACTCAGTCATCACCAATTTTCAATAACAGTCTGCCAAACGATGGTTGTCCTAGATAGTCTAGTTGATCAGAATAATAATGTTGGAATGTGTCAAATATCATCGACCAAAATGTAAAAAATTGCGATTGTGCAGCTAACATTAAAAACGTTAAAACGCGTAAATTAGACTTTTTTCTTTTATGTTTAAATAAAACAGTTTTCGATAACCATACTGTGACTTAGTTCAACACTTTGTGAGCCATATCAAAAGTTAAGTCTAGTTATTTCATGCATATAATAAGTCGTCATTTTTTTTACTTGTTACGGTACTCAAACTCACGTGAGATACGGTTGTTAGTATTGTAATACCATTTGAAAATGATGTATCAAGTAACGCCAAACCAAGTCATGTGAAAAGTAATGGCACTCGGAATAATTATTGTTCATAATTCACAGAATGTCACTAAATCTGATCAAACAGATGGTTACAATGTCAACCGTTTCTGAGTATTATGAATTTGTAATTTCTAATATGCCTCAGATGTCATTCATTTCAGGTGATATCTCTCATCCAAACTCTTCAAAATTATGTGTAGACTTTGTAGAGCTACAGAATATTCATACTTTACCAAGTTTTTAAAACTGACACTGTCGTTAATAGACTGAAATGGGTTATAGTACAGTAATATTTTGTAATTGTCGTTTTAGTGAGCTTTTGTTAGCCATATTTTTTTTGATACCGGATGATGATTGAAGTTGAAATCAAAATTTGGGCCTCAGCAGGATTGAAACCAGTGGCCCCTGGGTTACCGACTCAGTGCTCTCCCAATTGAAGTAAGAGACCCAGCTGTTGACCATATTATAATTCCACTTCAATCACCTAAGGTTTTTCTCTTTTACCATGTGAATCCGTGATGCGTAGCTGTCCATTCGTTGTATGTACACCGGTTGCCTAGTCGGCTCTCGTACCCATCAAATTCGAACTGAATTATAGAGGGGAGGATGATATAGGGATCATCAGTGTGACTCTCTGGGATAGCCGGGATTCGGTAGAGTCTACACATGATATAAGTTTTATTAGAGTGGTAGTGTTTTCTTTTCTTTCATGATTTCCTGATCATATTTTTAGCAGTGAGATCGCAAAACTATCTTACCTTCAAGTAGTAGTGACGTGAGTCCTGATATAATGATTTATTTTGTTACGGTCTACCCTTTGAACCCTATTTTGGTTCCGTGATGTAGAAGCTGAGCACATTAAGAGAAGCTAATTTTAAGCCTATATATAAAAGAGTAAAACTTAGACACTGGTAGAGTCTAATGCAATATCATATCAGTGATATGATCATGAACAATAAGTTCCGCTCGAAAAGTTTTCCAGTAAATAATACTGTGGGCTGTCAGATAAACTATCTAATATGAAATGATAAAATAAAGTGTTTCAACTAGCTAGTACTTTTCCTGCTAAACATTTGTTAATGTTAAAGATTGTAAGCGCAAGTAAGGCTTTTAACATTTGATACGGTTTTTCGTGAGCAACATACCATTTTGTGCTAAGGTCCACCACCTTTTGTTATCCCTCTAATTTCAGGATATGTAGCTTAGTTTTAAAAGGGATCGTTTTCAGTTAAGCACATTCAACATTTTGTGTAATTCATCTAACATTCTCCTGTAATTCTCAGTATTAAACATTTTTAACTTGCCGTTGGATTTTGACTGTGGCGTTTTTTGCGCATATCTCTAATGAATTAGTGCGAACTATGTACAAAGTATGTCAGGGGCGTGACACTAGGAGAGTGGTTGGTGGTAGCCTCAGAGATCGTAATGCTTTTCGAAATTCTTGCAGAATTGATAATTCCATGTTAAAGCCTAATTTTTCAATAGGGATTCGAATTAATTGTTTTTTAAAGTTGCCGTACACTTATATTTTCGTTCGTTGTGTAACTGACTTTTCCAGTGTTACCTACATTTGATAAAAATGTTCAGGTTTCATGACGGACACCTGCAAGCACGTCCTCAAAGTGAAGACAATTATTCAATTGGGAATACTTGCTCCAGAACATTGGCATTGCAGCAACTGTCATACAACAGAAAGTGTTTGGGCCTGTCTTTCATGCTGCAATTTCGCTTGTGGTCGTTATATGTCTGAACATGCCCTTCTGCATTTTAAGCAGACAAATGTAGGTTTTCTTTATGAAGATTTCATTCCAGTATAGCATCCCCTGTGCATAGAAGTGAATGAAAAATTTGTATATTGGTGAGTACTGTTTTGACTATTATTTAGTTATTAGCTATATCTGTGATGACTTTGTTCTCAACGATAATGCACCTGGTGATATCAAGCTTCTTAGGATGGCACTGGATGCAGTTACCACTCAGAATTTTGGCAAGCTCACAAATCAAAAGAGAGGCAGACGCATTCTTAGGTATCGTAATCAAGATGCTGAAAAGTATGAAAATAATTGCACAATCTTTTTGTTACCTAGAAAAAATTTACGTCTGTTAAAGGCTGATGATATACAAACAGCCATGACCCGGCACAGGTAATGTTCTTTATAAAATAGTCACTTTCAAGAATTTCTCGTCTTTCTTGGGCGCTGCATCTCTGGTGGTCGAGGTACACTGAATCAAAGGTAAGCCGTTTTAGTCAAATCTAAATGAAGTTGCTAGCTGGTCCCTGTTGTTACTAAGAAAGCGACCAAAAGCAAAAACGTGCCGTTGGCATTAACTCCTGCTTTCACAGGTCTGCGTAATTTGGGGAACACTTGCTATATGAATTCAATACTACAAATCTTGCGGTAATCTAACTTCTTAATTTTTAATTAAATTATTCATAGTCATACTGCCCCGTTCGCTAATTATATCATGAACTATACGCTAGGTGAGATTAACTCTCAATCAAGAAAGCGCCTTAGTCACCCTGTTGGTTTATCTACTGATGATCAAATATATCCTGTCAAACGCCCAGCAACATCTCAAAAAAGCCAAACTCCCACAATCTCTAGCAGCTGCGAAAGTTTATTAAATTCGTCAGTTAGTGAAGTTATGTCATATTGCACTCCGCATACAGAACATGACTCTGATCTTGGTCGCGAAAAAAAGTCAAATACTACGGTAAATAATGGATTTTTAAAATGTAGATCTTCTGGAGGTTTGAATGGTGGCCAGTGCCCGAAATTTACAGGTGCGTGTAATAGACAATCACTTTCAGTATCACTAGTTGATCCAAAAGTATCATCTCCACCGTCTCCCTCCCTTTATGAAGAAGTACATAATTTATTCAAGTTATTGTGGTCGGGTCAGAGATCTATTGTGAGTCCGAACAACCTTCTGAATACTGTATGGGCAACCCTACCAACATTTAAAGGATATAAACAACAAGATGCTCAAGAGTTCTTGAGTTTATTACTTGACCGTCTTCAAACAGAACTGCAAGGTATTCCGACAACTGTATCGATCAATAGTTGTGATTTTATCAATCGTGCTTTTCGTGGATATTCTGTCAGTCATATACAGTGCTCAGTTTGCCATGTGGTTGCATGTACTGAAGAGCCTATTTATGAACTCAGTCTTTCGCTACCTACCGATTGTCATTCTGATGAATCTTGTACATGTGATATAGTCGATCTCCTCCGCCAGTTTTTTAGTCCATCTGCAATCGATGGGGCCAGTTATGCATGCGTCATGTGCAATCAGCGTTATTCAGAAGTAAATAGAAAAGGAACAGAATTCACAGGACCAACACTTAGCGAATACAATTATGATTCAAATGATAACTTGGATGGTCTGTCTTATCCTGGTATGTGTTATTTACTGTATTCTTAATTGCTGTCGCATTCTATTTTCAACTAAAAGCACTGTCCTTTTAACCTATTATGAAATATTAACACTGATCAGCTTCAAAACACTCACAGCATATATTGGTGTTAAGTTGCCTTGAATAAGAACCACCGAAGGGTATTTTTGTAGTACATGATCTTTGTATAGTTTACTGCCATATTATAAAATTTAACTGAACATTCGTGGTTTCCAACGGAACTTTGGTAATCTAACAATTTGAGAATTCCGCTTTTATCGTAATATTTATGGAGTCAGTGTATTGACATTCTCCTTTATCAGGTTGGCTACTTTAGCTTTTCCTAGTTTATTACCTAATTGTTTAAGAATCTGCATTCAAAGTTCTTCGCATCTGTGAAAACAACAATCTTGTCAATCCAGGCGCAGTAATATGTAACTGTCAACCTACGTTAAATCTATACACGGTTATTGAATTGCACCTCACTTTTTTTTTGACTTTCTTTAAGAGTTTCATTTGTGTGTATTCTAGTGATATATTTTATGTACATTTTCCTAAGCGTGGTTTGTGTTTAGTCTGCATCCAATTTATTCAGTAGGTTAAAATAATCGTTGAAAAAGTTATTTCAACAAGGAATATAAAGCTAGGCTTTTGTAACTTTTACATTTTTTTGCTTTCCGAACAAAAATCCTTTTGTTTTTCTGCAATTATAGGTTATATGCGATTTGGGGCAGATTTTTCTCTTCGTAAATTATAATTGTTTTATTGTTAGTGTGTAGTAGATTTAATCTGTCCTTAGTTATATTTTGATTCCAGTAATCTCTGGCTTTTCAGTAGGTGAGAGGATTAAGATGAGGATAATATGTAGATACATGCAGAAGAAAGTGGAGATGGATTGGCCATACACTAAAAAGGCCGATTAGGGACATCACGTGCCAGACCCTCGAGTGGAATCGAAAGGGGAAACAACGAGTTGGGCGTGTGATCGGAAAGTAACATGGAAGAGATAGTGCGAGGAAGAAATAAGAGCTTGTAGGCAGTCATGGAGCCCGGTCGAAAGGACTGCAGAGAAGAGAAAGTGGAATGGAGACGTGCTACTGAAGCGGTATGTTCCACTAGGAACCCAAGGGAAAAATAATAATAATATGTAGATACATCTATGCCATTGAGGTCGATTCTGAGCCATGCCACCCTTAGAGTCTCCAACCACTGGTTTTTATTGTCATGTGGACTCCAACTGAAGAGTCTAAATTTCTCTAGACCACTCAGACTAACAGTCAGAGACTTCATGGACTGAGAGCACGTTTTAATCTGGTCGCCTCTAACCTTTTTCCTGCCTGATTCTTTTTCATCCAACATAGTGAGGCGAAGCAGACAGTGACTAGACATGCATAAGATTTTAAAATTCGTGTAATACTAGGGAAGGTGTGTAGGTAAAAATAGTGATAGTTATTCGTTTTTCTTTAAGTTCCAGCATTTAGACGTGAAAGTCTGATCAGTAAATTGAGTGCCTTCGTCATCGATTAGTCTACAAGGGAGTACTGTTTTTACGACACTCAGTTTTAAAGTAATTCATTCTAGATACTACTTCCCATGCAACACAAGTTCAATTCATTGAAATAAAGTAAAATTCATAGCGTGATGGGTGATCTAGTTAAAATCACCATTCCGAGGATACATAAGTTAATAAAGCTTATTACAGGGAACTTCAGTAAAATAGCACTCGAGAACAAAGGCTGTAACCTACCAAAGAAAAGAAAAGTAACTAATGAGAAACTTGTTGATTCCTTACCTGAACCACACTTGATTTGACATTTTTATCATACATGCGATCCTCTTGCGGCCCATGCCGCTCAGTCTAACGAGATCAAAAAGATACTTCGTTGACAAATTAAGTTACTCTTGGTAAGAATCTAGGTACATGTCGTATATATCATCGAATTTTTGGGGAAAACCTATTACAGTCATGTACTGTCAGAAGAGACTGATGTTCCAATTGTATAGCCATTCTGAAACTTCACTTCCTAAAGTTGGTTTCCCAACAAAAGCTGAAACAACGCTAATGGTGAGTCTCACATTCTGGTAGATTGGTGTTCGAGAAAAACTAAAAATCTTTTCCCAGATCTCAGTTTCTTCAAGATACAGTGATTAGGGAAGAAGTTAAGTGATGTCTTTAATTATGATGTCTTTCAAACATGAAAGTATATAGATATGTAGCTTTTCAGAGCTATACTTATTATAAGAAAATCAATACTGTCTTACAAGTAGTATTAAGAATCTACTGACTGCCAAGTAATCAGCTTTTTATCCTCAATTGACCATACTCCATGTGATGCTCAGCTCACAGTCATGTCATGATTGGATTTTCGTACATACGTTTAATTCATCAATACATGCAGTCCTATCAGTTGAACAGAGGTTTTTTGTATGATTTGTTTGTTTAGAATATGAAGAGAGAGTTATCACTTGAATGTCTTAAATTATCAAGTTCTATCTAATGAGCGAATATTCGTTCGTCCAGTTTAGTCTTACCTTCATTCCCACAGAAATGAATTCAGTAGTTTGTTTCCAAGCTATGTAATGGTTTTACAGACTATCTGGTTCCCCTTTATTCCCAGTTTTGTTTGGGACCAAATTGATCGGTCTCCTTTGGCATATGGGCCTCCGTGCGAGAGCATCTCAAGGTGACCGGGAATTTTATTTTGATGTTAAGCATAGATGGTTGCTAGCAGTCGAATTTAGGATACATGTTTCATCCTATTTGGGGCTCGTTGACTGGATACATCTGCTTCAGTTAGTGTTGCTCTCACTGGGACCCGAACGAAAGGTCTATCACTTCAAACGCTGAAGTGTTATCTACCAGGCTACTGAGTTAAAATAGACACTTCTTTCCCAAGGAGTATGGTTTAGTATTAGGAACTGTTATTTCCCATTCATCCTTGATGTCAAAATGAAATCTCGAAGCAGTCTGCACAGTAGTCCATATGCTAGCCGAGACCGATCACTTTGGTTCAAACCAATCAACAATGGGGAGTAACAAGTCCTGATATCAAACTCCACTCGTTGTGCAAAGGGTGGCTCTCTTACTTCAAAATCTCAGTGGATAATGCACTGATGTTTGAAGCAGTGAGTCCCGAGTTCGAGTCTCAGTGGGAATACCATCACACACTGGAATGCTGATGCATCCAACCGATGAGTCCCATATGAGAAGAAACGTACGTCCTAAATTCCACTACTAAGTACCACTTATTTTTGATATCAAAATGTGGTGTTCCTCTAAAAACACACCAATTCGGGAAATTAAATCACTTTCAATATACTGAACATCAATCCTAAGTCTGTTACTGTGGTTAATATATCCTATGTGGTGGTGAAAATATTGTGCTTATAGATAGCAAACTTTGTGTAGGATAAGAATGTGTATGGAAACTTACTTCCGGTAATATTAATCAAGTCATTCGAAATACTTATGGTCAATCTCTTTCATACGGAGTTTCATATTTCGTGCTTCTTATTATATCATTTCATGCATTAAAACGTTTACCTCAAAATCCTTCACTAATACTGCTTAAATTATCTTTCTTCTAACTTTTTTGTGGATAAAGTTGTATCCGTCGCTTTGTCTAGACTCGCTTCCCCATCATATAGCCCTCAGCTTTCTTATCCTGACTTCAGTACATCGAGTGGGCTAACTGAAACATCTTCTCTCCTAGAAAGTGTTTTGTCCACCACCTCAAGTTTAACTGGTCTGGATGAACCATATTTCAACCAATCACTTGAAAAGTCAGTTCAGTTTACCTCTCAACAATCTTCTGTTCAATCACTTCCTATCATTTTACCGAAGAAATTTCCATTACCTCTTACTAAGAGCTCCTTATTAACTCATGCAACACAAACAATTCGCATTTCTAAACTTCCGCGTGTTTTGCGACTGCATATTAAACGCTTTCGGTAAGTCAGTTTTACTAATCGTTTGGTAGTATAATTCTGTATACATGATTATCAGAAGTGCTGTTACTTTGTAGCAGTCATGAAGTTGGCAGTTTGTTTCTTTATGAAAATCAGCGTTTCGTGTCTCGATAAAAGTATCTGCCTCATTGATGTCATTATTTATTACTGTTGTAATTAGTGAGTTCATCCTTAGTTGTAAACGGCAGTATTAATTCCACAGCAACAAAAACAAGTTATTTGTCCGACAAACTAGAACCCATACACCTTAGTAAGAGGTATATACACTAAGTATGTGTACACTAGAACGTGGTCTTAGAATGAGTGTGCATGTTTCTATCCTATTCAAATATTTTCCTTTCCACTCTCTCAATGAATTCGTATTATACCTCTGTGTTCATAGTGAACTTGTTCGTTTGTATAGTGCCTGGGGACAATAGAATATTATTAATACTAGGTGATGATTGAAGATGACAGAAAAATTTGAACTGCGACCGGATTTGAACTAGCGACTACCGAGTTTCTGATCCTATGCTCTACCAACTGAGCCACGGGATCCGACCACTTACCAGATTTTTAATTCGCTTCAATCACTAAGGTTTTTACCCGACTAGAGCATCAGGTCGGAAACCCGGTGGTCGATGTTTCGAATCCGGCCACGGTTCGAATTTTTATTTCACTTTCAATCATAACCTAGTATCACTTCTAGTCTGCCAAATCGTGGCTATCTCAAATAGTCAAAATGAGAATATTATTAGTTGATATTCATCTCTTGGTAGATTTATACATTCGTTACCTTTCTCTATGTATCGGAAATCCTATTATTTAACATATATATATTCCTTGTCTTACTTTACTACACCTCCTAGCTCTTGTTACCATTTTTCCTGTTCCATTTATTTTCTTCGTACTATTTTAAGGCATGGCAATATCCAACGACTAAGATTCTATCTGTTGATCGATAATAAGTGTTTCACATATTACAGTGCAATAATGATTGTTTTTCATAACATTGTGGAATCACTATACTAGCAACAACTTTTTGTAGATTGAGATATCAGTGAGTGCCATAACTTTCACATACATTTAGTGTGGCTTATAAATAACACTTAAAACGATATGGGTATTGTTTTGCACTCACCGTTTTTGTTTCTTTTTAACTACACCGGACAGTTAATGGTGTAACTTCAGTAGTGTTCCATTTCATTGCTGTATCAGGTTCATTTTTTTCATAAACGTATCAGCATCCTTCCTCTGTACAACCAATTTTTTGCATAGTATAACACCTTCAAAGCATAAACCGTTTCTTTACAGCTTTTAGTCTAGTCCCCAGTCTTGGTGAAAGATAATATGGAACAAACTCACCATATTTCTACATGATAATTCTTATCACTTTCTCTGATCAGTCTTGTAACTCTTCATAATTCACACCAGAGATGTCCGAGGTATGAGCAACATGTTTTACTTACCAGATTTCGATCGCTATTTTGCATCATTTCAAAATTTTTTAAGCCTGATGCACTTGTGTATGCTCAGTTCTGCCATCCATTGTCACTTTCGCCCCTGAAATCGACTGCACGATTTGTAGTCATTTAGTTGAGCAATTCAAACACTTATTAGCGTATTGAGAAGTTTAACTTGAGGGTTTATGGGGATTTTTAATCATTTCAAGTTGGTATTCATCATGGACTGATGTCAGTTGGAGGGCATTGGAAACCTGGGAGTACTAAGCAGCTGTTTCGTCCTAGTATGGGACCATGAGGGCGCACTTCTGAGGAGTCCCACACTAGGACGAAACAGTTGTCCCAAGTTTCCAATGTTTCTCTGGCTGATGTCAGTCCATGATGAACACCAACTTGAGATTACTGAGAAGTGTCAACATGTCATTAATATTTGAAAAGAATTTGTAACCCAGAGTTATTGTCAACGCTGTATATTCCTGCTGACAGATCGACTGAACAACGCAAAGAATAAAGCGAAAGGGCTTTCAAACGAGAGTCAATCACAGTTGAAAAGCAACAAGTGGAAAAGGCGACAAAAAATTATATAGTGACTTCATCTAAGCAGATCCTGTCAAAATGGAACATCGTCTCCTAAAGCATTAGGTGACAACCCTAGCGACATTATAGAAAGACTTTTTTTAACCTTTGAATCACTACTTAGGAAATCGATATTAAATAGGGAAAAACAACGGAAAATACGTACGGTTGGTCGCTAAAGTTATTGGGTTTTTCCCTGTTAAGACCAATGCATTTGCAGGAATTGGTTCACGGTCTACATGTAAGTTTCTACCAAGCTTGGTTTATTTGCTGTATCGAAAGCGTTCACTAGCGATTATCTGATCTGGTGACAGTCTGAGATAATGATGTTGGCGTCTTAAGAATTGAGTTCAGTACGCAAGCCTAGGAGTATTTTGACAATGTTTGTGGCATGCTTTCTCATGGAAATAATAGGATTTATTTTCTCTTGCTTTTGCGTATTGTTGAAGAGTAATTACTTTAATTGCATGTTAGTCTTTTGTTTCACATCGATTTCATTTTGAATAGTAATAACGTAAAGTCGTATTTAATGCACCGACACATCAATGTTGGAGAGCTATGTGACACCATTACAACATTTTAAAGACTACTTTCCCAATATTCAGTGTAATGATAACACGCATCCTAGAAAAACAAGGTTAAAGCTATTCATGCGACACTATCGCGCATAAGAATTCTCTTCTTATGAAAAGTCTCTTAACGAAGACGTAGTGAGACATATACTTCTGAGTTCTTATTACAGTATGAAATTCAAACCACCTTGCAGTCGAAAATCTAGGTAGCAACTTATTGTCCTTTCTATCTTTCCTCTTGGTAACCTCTATCTTAATGTATTGGTTTGCAGCGTGTTAAATTGAATCATAATGCAGTTCTGTGTTGATAATGTCTGTCTCTCTCTAAACAACAACTGAAATTATTAGTGTGAATACCTAAGGAAAATAAGACTGATTGCTGTACGATCCAGCTTATTGCAGATAGTTTGCATGAATTACGTAGTTGTTTGACCAGCAGTTTGAATTCCACCGCGGTCCAAATTTTCATTTCACCTTCAATCATCACACAGTATCAATACAAGTCTGCCAAACCACGGCTACCTCATTCAGTCATAATGATAACTAAGTGAAATACTTTTTAAGAAATAGATTTCTAGCGTTATACCCTTCATCCTTATATAATGTTATGTCAGTTAAATAATGCCCTCTATGAAACCTGTATGCCAAGTCGTTTTTCTTATGAGTGGGTGATTTCAGTTGATTTTTGTTCTTTTAGTTGGGTTGGAAGACAAAGGGAGAAACTATCATGTCATGTATCATTCCCGCTTATCTTGAATATGAATGAATTCATGTTAAATGATGCAGACAGAGAAGAATGTCGTCATTCTCATTTACACGACAAGTTACATCGAAGAATACCTCATGAAATACAAGAAAAAGTGGTTTCTTCTGATGACATACATGACCAGTATCCACCCATACCAGGGTTACCTAAAGAGGAGGGTGAAAAAATATCACATCAGTATCTGTATCACTTAACTGGTGTCGTCGTGCATCATGGACGCGGGTTTCAATCTGGCCATTATACCGCCTACTGTCTAAATGATGCACCAGGTAAGTTAATGTTTCTATCTCTATTTGCCAAATAGTCTCTATTTCTTATTTACTGAAAGTGTTTTATTGTATAAATGAACTTATGGATTGAAGGTGTTCTTTAACATGAGTATTAATGATGGTAATTTGTGACAATGATATTTATGCTAACTTTGCTCTTGTTAAGTATCCTATATGAGGCGGCCTACATTGGTCGATTGGTTTCCATCCTATCGGAGTGGTTTTATATCGCCAAGTTTTTTGGAAGTAGATTTTGTCAATCATATAAAAGAACCGTTTACTGCAACGTTGTTTAACACGCAGTGGACTATGGTTTCCAGTTAGGCAGACTATTTGTTGCCATTAAAAGTGTTTATCTTCTAAATACTTGAGTTCTACCGATATATCTTCATGACTTTTGTCGTAGCATGTTAAATAGCTAAATCAGCTAAAATGGTTAATTCATAAACTATATTGTTCTTTAACTGCTCAAACAATACTCACATTGAAGGGAATGATAAAACAAAATGCCCATGATAAAAATGATGTTAAATTCAAAAGATGGAACATGGTATAATGTTTGGAGGCAATTACAAAGTTCATACAGAACAAATAATACAATTCACGGTTTCCAGATGTTTTTATGAGACAATTTTATTATTATTTGTTTTGCAATGACTAAATGGTGATATTTTGTTGTATCCAGAAAGATAATACATTCCATGAACAGAATATAAGATAGTGAAATCTCTGTGAACTACATCTGTTTGAAAAAATCTGGTCACTTCCAGGTTACTCAGAACTTGATAGTTTGTCAACTTTTCAAGCTTCTGCTTTAATATTACAAATTTACGTTATACGTTGCTTGGAACCTCAGCAGTTTAGGTTACTACACTTAACAACAACCTCCTGACGATGTAAATATCTTAAAAAGATACTGCGGTAGACATAAGTGTATGAGAGGAAATAGGATAAGTAAATGAAGTATAAAAAAATGATAACATGTGCTGCACTGTGATCAATTTCCGGTTGCATCATCAAGAGTTTCCATCCGTTGATTCCCCTTCATCTCGATAACAGTCACGTAAATTCTACACTTCCCCACGTAGCTCAAATCAACATTCAAAGTCTTCGTGCACTGTTTCAACGTCTTGGTTTGTGATATATCTTTAGTTAGATATATGTGTGACACTTGAAGAATAACCTTCAGATTCTACCCTTTCTCAGCTCATCAGTAAATAGGAAAGGTGATGAGGTAACAGAAAGTGTATTGCAACGTCGAAATATGTACAAAATGCAATGATATATATATATATATATATATATATATATATATATATATATATATATATATATATATAATGGTCGTGACTATGAGGATCTGGACAATTTTATGCCATACTATATCACTTTGGTCACTTTGATCCTACATATTTGCATATCTGCCCATAATCTTTTTATGTTAATTCTACCAGTTTCTCACGTACTCTAACGCTTGAAATGTGTTTACACATAAAATAAATAATGTGTTACTTATCTAACAGCGTAGAACAAAGGCTTAGATTGTAGGCAAAAGATGAATCGTAATGGAAGTTGACAGTCTAGTGAATTGAAAAGTTGGACCATATAAAAAATGATTCTTCTGGTTTCTTTAAAAACCGGAATATTATAAATGTGCACCAGCACCGGAACGATAAACGTTATTTTGTTTCCTTTAGAAATAATGCATAAAAGTTAAAAAGGTTAAATCGTGTTTATTCTTATGTCTTTACTATTACTAGAGCGCTGGTTGCATTGTAATGATGCCAATGTATCATTATGTGATTTCTCAGAAGTAGCCACAGCACAAGCCTACCTCTTATTTTATTCAGAGCTTATGCCTCGAACTCCTCTTCCTACCTGGTGTAAAAATCCCACAATTTCTGAAAGTTCATCAAACATCACATCTTCTATTTCACAGCCGAATTTATTGAAAAACCAATTCCAGTGTCCTTCGTATCTTGACAGCCATCATAGTAATTTTGATACATTTCAAGATCAATCTGTAATTCATGGGAAAGAGTCGAAAATGTGTTCAACACAGTGTTAAATTTTACTTGAAAGCAGTTAATATATTGTATTTAAGAATATTTTCCCTTTTTGTTATGCATATATATTACTCATACATCTGTTGTAAATTAAATCTTGCCCACTTTTTGTCAGCTATATATGGTTATTCAACATTCATTGTATAAATATATTCATCTAGTCTGTTTATAAAAACTGCATTTATTTTTCAACTTTCGTGTTCTGTTTCTTTTTATCCATGTAATCATTGTGACAGATTATCTATATTCAATTTCTCTGTTGACCAGCTTAGCTTTTAAAACATTCTTACTGTCCTACGAAATTGACAAAAATATTTCCTCTATTTTTTCAATCTTACACTTGTTTTATTACGAGTTTTTAATTCAGCTGCATTTCTATTTATATTTGCTGTCATTGTTGTTTTTACACTGGCGTTTACTACTTATTCAGGCTTGTGTAATGTATAATACAGTTATCAATCTGTTCTGTTTGTGCAATATTCGATGACAAAAATTATTCTAATTTGTCGATATAATTGACAATGAACACTGTGTTTTTATGTCACAGAATGAGTAGTTTATTGAAGTTGTACATTTTAATTGTTACTATTTATTATAATTTTTGACTACATTTGTTGTTCTTAAAGGTTATTTATCCGGTTTTGTTAATGTTATCCGGCGACATATATTCCGTTTTTATTTTTTAAGCCATTCTGTTTCTCACTGTTCGGTTACTTTTTCTGGAAACTTGCTATATGGATAGAAAATGTGATCGACTCTGAAGGTCATTTTTACAACTACTCAAATAACCAGTCAGATTTTGTTATTTCTGTTAGAAAGGCAGATTTGCATACAATGAAGAGGTCCAATTGGTTGTTGTTAAGATGGTTGATAAAGTCACTTGAAAATGTTCAACTAATGTCACCTAACGGAGAATTTGCATATAGATGGTAACAATGTCTGGTCCCCTTATAGGGTTTGAGAATGATTATGTTTGATCTGTTTCCCAGTTCATTTGAAGTGCTGTAAACTCAATGGTTCTTTGTCTTGTTTCTGAACTATGAAATTGATGAACGATGTCAACTAACCTTTAACCAACTTTGATTATCTGAAAATGTAGGGACAAGAGGACTCAATTGGTCATAGAAGTTTCCAAACTGACCATAAATATCCAGTTGAGAGATTTTTATGTGGGGAACTGAAAAGATTAGTTCAAAAGAAAGTACTTCTTTCTCATGAATTGAAAGTACAATAGAGGACAAATTACATATTTATCTGAATCGCCACGAAATTGAGTTTGCATGAATCTCATTAGAATGGGATCTAGACAGTTTTTGTCTTGTCCTGTCCTTCGTTTAATTGATAACAGAACTACAAGAAAATTGATAAATTTAATGCTCAAATAAGAGAAATGTCCCACAACACACATGCAGCAGTTAAACTGTATAGCTTCTCATTGCAATTATCTATAAGGGATTTCGTAAGCCGAACAAGATTTGAAAGGTTGTGTTGGAGTTTAGAGGATCGCAACATTTCGACTCTGCATTTGTTTAGTGCAACAAACCGAAGGTGTCCACGCTGTCAACCAATACAACGGTTATTAACATACAGTAAGCATGAGTGTTCCTAAACCACCCATTTGACAACTAAAAAGTGATCAATACGTACATGATTATAGGGAAACTCGACCTTGTGAGTCATTTTCTCCCATTTTATGTCGTATCAAAGTACAACGATAACTTCGTCAGCCATCTAAACTGAAGTGTGATTTGAGTCTCAACAGGCACTGCAGAAGAGGAAACGGGAGTTTTGAATACCCCTATGCTGTCAAAAGTTAATCTGTCGCAATCTAGGTTTAAGTGTATCCAACCAGTTAGTGCTCACTACCTACCTAAATAGCTACCGGCTAATTTCAGATATCCATTATGCTCATTCTATTCCTCAACTAGTTCCTTTATATTGTATACGAACATTTTAACCTGACAGTACACAAATGACCGTTAGTGGTTATCCAATGGACTAGTTCATCTCTAGTGTCTAATACAGCGTTGGCCACTAATGCTACAGGATTCCTTGATTGAATGCATAAGAAATATGACAGTCAGAGAAGATATTTGAAATCCTTCACTGAGATTTCGTATCCACATCTCTGACACACTATGGATTGATAGCGAAGCTTTTTAAAGCCTAAATAAATCATCCTGTTATCAGATCTGCATGAAGTTAGCAACTGTGGAGGTGGCAAGTTTCAGTAGTACGCTCTGTTTCATGATAGTTGAGTCAGCACTGGGCTCGAGAACAGATTTCTGTAATCATGTGTTTAGTTACTCAAACCGATGCAGACAGACTAGAATTTTGCGCAGTGATGACGGGTCAGGTTAAATAAAAATAGAGGAAACTTGAATTAAAAGAAGAATATTTCATATAAGACATATAATAATAGTAATATACTAGTGGTAATAATGTGAATAACTAGGTCCAATATTTAAGGCTTCATTGATTCAGAGTGAGTCAGGTGTGCAATTAAATTTTTGATTGCTGTGTTGTCATCATAGATGTTGTGGTGAATAAGATACCGCCTGCACTCTTGAAACCAAAGCAGATCGTTGTTTTAAGTTATCATCTTCCTAGCCACTTACTTGAAGCCAAGTTAACCATCAACTGAGGGACGTTAGGTAATTCATTCCCAGATTAGGTTCACATGTAATTGAATCCTCCTCCTCCTGAAGGTTCCTTAACATTTATAGATAAACGGTTTGTATTTACCGTCCAATCACCTTTATGAGGACCACAGCAAGTGGATAGAGGCTACAAACTCAGTTAAATGCACGAATATCTGACTCTGTGCACCTTTTTTCAGGCCATAGCTTGTTTGGCAACGACTAGAATTTAAAATGGATTGTACATTGGTATGAGGAGCGAATATGTCTATATTTCTTCTAACACACATTTGATTCCCTCAGTAAACATTATTTTCAAATGACATCTTAGTACATTTGTGAAAAATCCCAATGATAACACTGTATGAATATGATGCTTACTTGAATATTGAATTGCCATTACTGGCAAACGTTGACTAGTTATAGTTGTGATTACCTTCTTTGCTGTCTCTTTAAAACGCTTTTAGAGAAAAACTGTTCCAGCCGGTGAGATATTATCAGACTTAAGGATGAAACTGTATCGAACAGAAAAACTCTGATACAACAGAAAAGAGTATAGCCTAGAATCCTCAGCAAGTGGCGTACCGCCTACAAAATGTAATCAAAATCCAAAAAGAATAATCAATACGGGGAAATACTCAACGAAACTGTCAATTTTGCAATCACGATGCAAATTCGACAGTAAATTATCATTATTAATATTATAACATCGGATAATTATACTGGGTTGTATAGATTTTATTTTCACATGCATAAAAGTTCCTTCTAGACATCATTTAAAGTAGACAAAATCCAGAAAGATAAATAAAGCATATAATAAAATAACAGTAATCACCTTTTTTCACGAATTCAATTGCTTATTAATAATGGCGTTTTCTTGAATAAGATAGACCATATTGGCCTTGCTCACTCTCTTCAAACTCAAGTACACTGCAGTAGAGTTTATCATTGAAACTCCAGGAACTCAGAGAGAATATTTCAGGAGTATGCAACTACAAGATTTAATCTTCCAGCTATAAATCACATCATTTGTCACTGATACCACCACTGCTAACTAAAAACGATTTAAAATAACCTGCTTTGTTGTTTGATTTAGCATTGAACCGAGTTTGCATATACATGTGACGAAAACTCGTTCCAGGGATTCCTCCTGAGTGCCTGCATCCAACTGATATCTACCAAAGTGCACCATGATGTTGAGACTCTTAGCTTGGGTGACCACAATGTAAAGTGATCGATAGAAGTCTGACTAGACAACATGAAACTGCTGGCTGTACAGCGAGTAATCAATATATTCAACCTATTTATGCTACTTAAATGTGAGTTAGTAGTTACAAATTAAAACTAAAATTTATAGACATTTAAACAGAGTAATGAGAAAACGAAGATTATCTGAAACATGTGATGTATTAGCACTATACATTTCGAACATTCTGATCACACATGAACTTGTCGAACTATTTATGTGAAAATTTACGAAAAAGGTCAATGGAGTTAATAGGAGACATAGGAATAGGAAAACCTCGCCTGGTTAACTAGTACACTAGTTACTAGCCGGTCCTAAGCCAGGGTAAAGAGAGAAGGTTGGGCATAGGGCTAGCAACCCTACCCCGTAAAACAAATCCAACCGCTAAACAAACTGCAAAGCAAAAACAAAATATAAAAAACAAAACGAAATTATTTCTCGCTGGATTCGGAGAGGCGAAATGACGCCAGTTGGTGAAAGCCTTCAGGAAGCCAATTGGCCGATGTGTCTTCTCTCCCTCGATGAAAGCGAAAGTAAACGTGGGGACATGGAATGTCTGCACCATATATGAACCTAGCAAGGCTGACCAGATTGCCAAACAGATGACAGGGCACAGCATTGAAGTACTAGGAATCTACGAGGAATCAGCAGATGGGATGGAAGTGGACTCTCCAAACCGTCAACTGGAGAGTCAATAATCTACTCCGATATTGTCACCCAGACGACAACCACCAGCACACTGAGTTTTCGAGTGGCTATCATGATGTCTCCAAGAAAATCGAAGGCTCTCATGTGGTGGGAACCAATCTCCTCCAGGATTAGGATCATGACAGCAAGCTTGAACTCAAAAGGAAGGAAGGTCACAACTATACAATGCTATGCACCTACAAATAATGGAGGTGAAGAGAAGAAGGAGGAATTCAACAGACAACTGCAATCAACACTGGACAAGACCTTAGTTGGCGACATCAAAATTCTGATGGGTGGGGTGACATGAATGCAAAACTGGGAGGGGACAACACAGGAAGAGAAATAACCATGGGTCGAGAAGCATTCGGTGAGGTGCAGAATTCTGTGCATTCAACGATTTGGTGAATGGATGCAGTGTGTTCAAGCACAAAGCGACATGTAGTTGATTTCACCAGGCGGACACACTACACTAAAAATCACATCGACTTGATCCCAATCTCAAGAAAGTGGGGATGCAGCCTACTTGACACAAGGTCAGATCAAGAAGAGGAGCAGATGTAGGTTCAGACCACTATCTAGTACAAGGAACCCACCTTCCAGATCAAGTTAAAAGCCTTCAAGGAAGCTGGTGATAGACCATAGTTCAAGTACAACACCCAGAACAGAAACTGAACTGAAGGACGAAACTACAAAGAAAATCTTCACGGCAGACAGCCATCAAGACAAAGTGGGAGATATCAAGCAACATCCCTGAAGAAACTTGTGTGGATGAACACTGGAAGTCTTTGAAAGAGATGTGGAAAGAAACCTGCCTAACCGTATTAGGAAGGAAGAAGAAAGGAGATAAGGAATGGATCTCGATGGATATATGGAAGCTGATAGAGCAGGGAGAGGAGGATGGTGAAGCAGAAGATAAACCAGTGCAGTGCAAGGATGCTCAACGACAAGAGGAACTGAGTACAATGTATAAAACACTACACTGGACAAAGAAGTGAAGAAGGGTGCACGGAAAGACAAAAGACACTTCTACGAAACACTGGCAAGTGAAGCAGAACAGGCTGCAGGTGGGAGAGACCTGACAACATTGTATCAAATAACCAGGTTGCTA